AACACTTGGGAAGCAATAGTACATCTAACAGGAGTGACCCTGTTCCTGTCATAGCAGAGGAGCACGTCCCAGGAGGACCGAGACATTCCAGACACTGGGGTGTCTGTTGTCAGCATCTGCTGCTTTGAAGGAAGCAGCAGTAACCTCTCTTGTGAGCACTTTGAGACAAATATCCTGCCTCTGCACTGCTCGTTTTCCCATTTCCTAAGACCATACAAAAGGTACAGCTTGGTAAGAAAACAACACTGAAAAATAGGATGAGGTAATCAGCACATGCACCAGTTCATACAACCCACAAAGTTGGTACAACCTCCTACACTGCAAAGATTTGTTGGGTCTCCTAGACTGGTTTAATGTCCAGCCCAATGAATACCGGTTTATGGTAAGACTTCTGAGAAACCAGTCTGACTTTCCTTCTGAAGTACGTGGACTTCTCTGGTTCATAGCTTTCATTCACGCTGCTGTGGTTTTGAGCCTGGTCGGCAGCTACACGCCACATAACTTGTTACTTGCAGCTTGTAACTCACTCACCTGTGAGCAAAACGGTTGCCAAACCAACAGCGAGTGTGTTCATCCTTCCTCCTCTGTCACGGTGTGGGCACCCCCCGTACCGCCCTGGGAAGCACAAAGGCCTCAGCAGTCTGGCTGCTGTCAGATCCGCTTCAAAATCTTTTGGGGTAAGCTGACATTTGTGCCGTACAGACCAAACTTTCAAGCTGTACCGTTGCCATGAGTTTAGGGGATTCTGAAGAAACTGCCAGGCGGTCTTGACGTGCGGAAAACAGACTCCACAATCTGGTAGATTGTAAAGTAGGTATGTTTATTCAGCGCTGGGCACACAGGGGATAACTCCTCCTATTGTGCGCCCTGATATGGCACCGTTACCTTAGATTTATAGAGCAAATGATTACATATTCATAATATTTCGCAATACGCCTATACATATGCATTACCTATCCCCGCTTCGTATTATAATTAGCATTTCCATAATCTCCCAATTGAGTCTCCGCAGTGTCTTCTGGTGGTGGTCGTGGGGGTCTTTGGGGATGAAGTCAAGCTCCTCTTCCTCCTGTCCGCTCTGTGACCCCAGGTTTCGCGCAGACTCAGTCTCTTACTGGCTGTTGTCCAAACCGTAGGTCTAGTCCCAACCGGCTTTGTACTGATAAAGCCTAAAGACTCCATGCCTCAGCTCATCATGTTTTACAAACTATCTACTCATTAAGCAGAACTGTTATCTCAACTATTTCCCTTGTCATCCCCTTCTTGCTATTCCCATATTAACCCTTACATCCCCTGTTCCTATCTAGGCCCTGTATCAGTCCGTATGCAAGGATGATGGCTGCAGGTGGCAGTGGCTGCATAAGGACCTTTAGCTCTTCCTGGCCATCGTGTTGGCCTGAGCGTTGCTTTCACCTCAACCCAGTGGAGCTGCTCCCAGTGTACACCAGGCCTTAGCATGAGCTGTGTGTTAGCCAAAATCTGAGCAGGAGTGGAGTGAACAGTCACTACTCCTAGCTGGAAAAGACTAGCAGAGGTTTCAAGGTTTATGTTCTTGCAGTTGAATGTCACCTGTACTTATTTAATCATCTGAATCCAGCCCTTGGCAAATATCAGCGGGGCGGTAGAGAAGATTGGATGTGTGGGGACTCACTCTGTTCTGTCACTGTTGGGGGCTGGTGACCCCAGGAACCACTGGGCTTTCTTTACCAAGCCGTGGAGAACTGACTTGCCTTAGGAACAGCAGCTTTATGTTGGCATGTGGAAGGCAGGGGTAAAGTCAGAAAAACAAAGGTTTGTTGGGTCGAAATAATACGAAGGACCTTGTCTTAAGTATTTCTAAATGTATTGTCACAAAGTGTGTGCAACTGTAGGGAATATGAACTCAGAAGAGAGTTACAGCTGTATCACTCTATAGTCATTTGTTCTGCATCCACTAAATAAAAATAAATAGACTAGGTGCAGCAGGGGTTGTTAATAGAATATAAGGCCATAGTTTCAGTTTTCCACAAAGTAGCAAAAAACCCAGGAATCTGTGTTTGTTTTAAGACCATTGAGTTAATCTTGGTAGACTTGAAACCTGTGACAAAAAGAATATTCCTTAATGCTCAGTCTAAAACCTTCGTTTCTTTTTATAAGTAATTGGAAATTATTTCCTAGCTATTGTTTTTGCAAAGGGTGCAATAAAAAAGGATTGTGAAAAGGAAATGCTGCATGAAATTACAGCGTCTGAGATCCATTGTTTGACACACTTGACTGAAAAATTACATGGTACACAAGATACTCTGTGTCTAAAAATCTACATCAAATGAGATGTTGGCTCCAAAGTACTTTTGGGGTATTGGAGCTCTCAGTTTTACTTGTAGAACTACAGGGAAGTTTTCTGTTCCCTGGATGATACTGACAGTGTCTTTAGTCTGACAACGAAAATTTCAGACAGTTTTTAAGATAGCACCTGAAGCAACCTGTCACAGAAAAGAATTAGAGGTCAGAGCTGTGCACTGGAATTTATTTCTGATATTCTTGGAGGTCTCAAGAACTTTGGCTTGCCTTTGAAGTAGAGTTTAGAGGTGCTACCTTCAACTGGTTCTGTTGATTAAATAATTAAATCTTTTTATCTCTTTAACTTATCAGCCTGTATGGGTGAAATAATTGGCGTTTGGAACATTCAGGAGCTTTTCAGTGAATTGTGATTCGGCATGATTATGGATCATCTTTTGAAAAGGAAACAAAGCAATTTCAGATATAATGTGGCTTTGAGCATGCATTATTGCCGAGTTAATCCAAAGGGCACATACTCAGATGTGAGCTGTAGTATGAAGCCACATTTAGACACACAGTGTGTCAGTAGGGCATTTGAACTATGTTATTTTTCCCAGTGAATTGTAAAAGAGAGTTTTACACACGGACAGGGGAAAACTATCAGCACTAAACATCTGCGGATCGGGCTCATTACTAATTTGGATGAGAACTGCACTTGGGGTTTATCCCAGAGCTGTGATGAGTCAGCCTATCTGAAAAACACTTCAACTATCTGGTCAAAAACTTTCATCTTTTTTGCTGAGTGAGAGGTAGAGTCGTCCGAAACAGCTGATGAGCATTTTTAGGAAGGCTTCTGGAGAAGCTCATGTATGTGTCTTTATTGCCACCTTCTGGGAAGGGAGAAGAATAATTCTTGAGTAGATTTCTACAGACATCACATCCTTTATTTTTGACAATACACATGCTAACTACTTTCTTGTACAAGTACGTATGCAGATTGGCAGTGGAAGATAAAAATATGTGCAGAGCAAAAACAGTATGCTCTTGATGCTCCTGGGGAGATCACTCTGCTTCGCTCTCTTTTCTTTCATCATTATTTTGCATTTTCTGTAAATAGCCTGTTTCCACAAGCGCTTTCATCCTAGGGGGCTTGGTTTTTTAGCTTGTTCTTGTAAGCAATGAGATTGCAGAAAGAAAAATAGCTTGGAATAAGCAATTAGCAAAGCTGGTATTTCTTCAAAGTGCTCTCTAGAATATATATGCACCTTGAATTTGACAGCATTTTAATGATGTTTAATCATTAAATCTTTAATCATTTAATCTTTATTTTAATGAAAGCAAGGTAGAATTTTTCAGAAGCACTCATTCCTAATCTCTGCCTAGTAATGTCAGTGGAATTTTGGGGGGTTGTTTTGTTTTTTTTATGTTGTTGGGGCTTTTTCTTTTTAATTTTAGTAAGAATGTTTAAGCCATGACCAAGTATTTTATAATAATCTACTTTCAGATATATAACACTACAATCAGAGTAGTTTAGTGAAGAATTATGTAAAAGGAAAAGGGGGCAGCACTGCTTAGTTCATGTATAAACAATGCATCTTTCATTTCACTGTTACTGTAATTTATGGAAATCATATTGAGGCTTCAAGAAATTAGACCCTGTTGCATTTCAGAGGAAGGGGAGACATGAACCATGAAGTAAATTGTGTCTTTTGACTGGTAATTCTGAGACACAGATATTGACACGGTCAAGCAATATCCAGTATGGTATTTTATATGCGTATATATATATCTTATAGATGCTATATATTATATTAGTTTCATATTTTTTATAAAGGTTATGTATTATATACTGTATGTAAACTATATATTAAAATATATGTCTATATTTAAATAAACATTTATTTTTATGTATAAACAAAACCAAGGAAACTAGAACAGGAGCTAGATGAATAAAGTACCTCAGGTGATGTATTAGACCATTTAAGGTGGGAGACTGTAAACCAGTGACCTGCCTGTAATCACATAGGGGAGTCTATAGCAGATGCAGAAGCAAATTTAGATTTCCAGAATGCTAACCATAAGGCTGCCTGTCTCCCCAGTTGTTGTTGTGTCCCCCTCCACTCCCAAGTAAATAGCTTTCTTGCATCTCTGCTTGAATTTCTTGCAGAGCTTCTGCAAACATTTCTAGCTCCAGGAATTAAATACTGTTTTCTTCTTCCTCCCTCTTAAATAAAGTCTTTTTAGCTGCGTCATCTCTGTCACGAGGCTGCCTTCTGCAGTCCGCGAGTAGATTTCAATCCTAATTTTTAACCCGTGTAAAGCAACAACATGCCTTCAGCAGTTCTGAGAGTACTTCTAAAATGTGTTAAAATGTGAGGGGGACAGTGAGATATTAATACCACTTTCAATTTTTTTCCCTTTTTCATCATCAATTTTTTCATCATGATTGAAATCACAGATGAAGCTAGCAGCATTAGAGCATTATTTGCTGTGCAGCCAGAGTTTTAATGACACTGAAGTAACAACTTCTGTGTCTGAGTATGGATTTTTTTGCAACCTTTACATACTTGATGCCTTGAAGTTGGTGTCCCACTGCAGACAGTGCCTGCTGACAAAAACAGTATATATTGTAAAGCTTCATCACAGACCTCTAATTCCTTTTGACTCTCTTTACAAAAAAAAAAAAAAAATACAGTTGGACTGTGCCATAACAAGATGCTCTGTGGATTTTTTTCTTCAGGTGAAAAATGTGTTTTGTATGAAAGCAAAGGAAGGCAGAAAAAAATCAACACATGCTTTAGTGGCTATTGGAAATGGTAAAGGGGCTGCAGGTATGTGCATTTACTCTATGTAAAAGGTGCCAAATTAATCATTGGTTGTAATAGGACTTTGGGAGGCATGATCTTAAAAAAAAAAAAAAAAAAAAAAAAGAAGAAATTTACCCTTTTTTCCACTAGGCAACTTTAAAATACCTGTAGGAATTTTAAGTTTCATCTCTAAAGGTAAGCTTTATAATCAAATTCTGTATGTATTCACTGGGACACTTTGTTTTGTATAAAAAAAAAAGAAATTGGGAAAAGTAGTAATATGTGATTAGATTTAGAGCATATGTTATCCAGTGGTAAAAACATTTTTTATTTAACTTTAGAGTGATAGAAATAACCACTGGTAGCTCCTAGCAGAAGAGATCATCTATGCTTTCCTGTACACGCTGTTTCTTTTTACTGTCTATACTGGTTATGTTTACAAAAAATCAAAGCCTGAAAGTATTCAGCCATGCATATTTGCATTTATTTTACCTAACCTTAGGCACCCAGCTGCAGAGTGTAGTTGCTGACTTTCAAGTCAAAGAGAAGGATCAGGCACCTGGAAAAATCCAGGTGCCTGGAATTGGGGGTGGGCTGACATGCCCCAGGAAGTATTCATCCCCTTGCACTGGTGGGGGAAGAAAACTCAGCTGAGCGTGCTCTTCACAGAGGTGCCTGTGCCTGACCAAAATGGATCTGGGCTCCGTGGTTTACCAGAGCAGATGGAGTCATAAGGAAGTAGGAGTCAGTAGCTGTGAATCCGGCTTTCTGGTTTTGAAAATCACTTTCATGTTGTTGGGGTTCTTGGGGGGTTTATTTTCTTTTGCTCTAACAGCGGTGACCACTTTGCAGCAAAGGGCAGCGTGGCTGGGTGTGTGTTTTCCTGGGTTCTTTTCTAGCTAATTGTCGTGGTTTCTGCCCAGCTGGCAGCTAAACACCAGGTGCCTGCTCGCTCACACCTGTGGGATGGGGAGGAGAATTGGCAGGAAAAAAAAAAAAAAAAGTAAAACCTCATGGGTTAGGATAAGGATAGTTTAACAGAACAACAGAAGGAGAGAAAAAACAATAAAACAATACTAATGAATATATAAAGGGAGTGATACACAATGAAATTGCTCGCCACTCAGTACCCTGTAATCTGCACCCCATCCCGCTGCCCAGTTCCCCCAGTTATGTACTGGTCATGATGTCAGCATGGTGTTGAATATCCCCTAGGTTGGTTGGGGTCACCTCTCCTGGCTGAGCCCCCTCCCAGCTCCTCGTGAAAATTAGCCCTACCCTAGCCAAAACTAGGACACTAGTGTTAGTATTTCTAGGTAGAATTAGTATCAATCTGACTGGGTTTGTTTGTTTGTTTGTTTCTTCTAAGTCTCCGGATAGTCCCTTGGAAGTATTACTGATTTTAGTTAAAAAAGGTTTGTTTACTTGTAGCCTCAGCTAGCATCTTGATGCAGAAATTCTTAATGAATCTGTCAAATCAGAAGCCCCTAAATTTGCTTCTGATTTAGTCTCTTTAGGAAGCTTTCTTATTTTACTGAAGTTAATAATAATAAAAAAAAATCCACTTAATGGTTTCCTACAAATACTGTATTTATACACATTTAGGGAAAAATAGAATACTCAGGGCCCTTTGAGTCTGGTCTCATAGTAACTTCGGTGATCTGTGACTTGACCCATTTGTAGGCTTTCTCCATTATGACTCTTTATAAAGGTCTCTTCACCATGCAATTTGAAGTCTAACCATAGAAATGCTGTCTATGGCATAAAGTAAATAGGAGGCATGGCAGGGGTTTTGGTAGCGAGGAGGGGGCTACAGAGGTGGCCTCTGTGAGAAGCTTCTCAAAGCTCCCCCAGCTCCAAGTCGGACCCAGCTCTGGCCAGGGCCGAGCCAGTTAGTGATGGTGGTTGTGCCTCTGCAATAACGTACTTAAGAACCTCACAGGAGGAGCGGGAGTTGTGAGGAGGATACCTCTGCAAAGACCGAGGTCAGTGGAAGGAAGGAGGAGGAAGGGGGGGAGGTGTGCCAAAGCAGAGACCCCCCTGTATCCCGTGGTGAGAGGGCAGGTCCACCCCCTGCCACCCGTGGAGGTCACCTGTGGGGCAGATGCCGACCTGCAGCCTGTGGAGGAGCCCACGCCGGAGCAGGCGGCTGCGCCTGAAGAAGTCTGGGACCCTGAGGGCAGCCCACACCGGAGCAGTCTGTTACTGGGGGGGCTGCAGCCCATGGGAAGGACCCATGCTGGGGCAGTTCATGAAGAGCTGCAGCCTGTGGGAAAGACCCACGTGGGAGAAATTCATGGAGGACTATCTCCCATGAGAGAAACCCCACGCTGGAGCAGGGGAAGAGTACAAGGAGTCCTCCGCCTGGGGAGGAAGGGTTGGTAAAGGCAATGGGTGACGAACTGATGGCAACCCCCGTCCCCTGTCCCTGCACTGCTGGGTGGGGGGAGGAGGTAGAGAAGGAGTAGAGAAATCTGGAGCAAAGCTGAGCCTGGGAAGAAGGGAGGGATGGGGGGAAGGTACTTTTAAGTTGTGGTTGTATTTCTCACTGTCCTACTCAGATGGTTTAAGTGTTGGTGATGGTGGTGTTCTAATTAAATTGATGTTCGGAGTGTCTTTTGCCATAATGGTGAGTCATCCCTCCCTGTCCTTGTCTCAATCCCTGAGCCTTTTTTTTTTATTTTCTCCTCCCCATCCTGAGGGGAGAGGAGTAAGCAAGCAGCTTTGTGGTGCTCAGTTGCCCTCTGCACTTAAACAACAACAGACAAATCAAAAGAAATGTAAGATTGGGAAGGATGTTAGAATACAAGCTGTGAAAAGAGACTCTTTTCCTTTTCTTTCTCAGCAAAGACTTGGGGAAAGAATACTGGTCAGAGGCACTTGGTTTGGTTGTGATTTCTTTGTAACAGAACTCTAAGCAGAGTTATGTATGCAAGGTAGTGATGACCAAGGTATCTCTAGAAGCAATCGAACCATCTCTGTGCAGCATCTAACTTGGATTAACTAGCCCTGGATCCCAGCATAAAGGCACTGTGCAGCTACCCTGTACAGCAATGACTTTCTTGCTCATTTCCAGTTCTGTTATTGAGGAGATAGTGTTCCTCTTTCACCCAGTTTTCAAATATCAGGAGTTAAAGACTTCTTTTGTTGCAGGGTAAGTTTTAGTTAAGAAACACTCTTGAGTGTGCTAAGTTTTTTTCCATAAGGAGATAGTTTTCATGCATTTTCTTGTATTTTCTTGCACATACAAACAGATGTTAGGCCTCAAATAAACTTAGAGGTAAGACAGCTGTACAGAATTAAAAGAAGAATCAGCTAAAAAAATAGAAGATTAATAGCTATGAAGTAAATAATCCAAATAATATAATCCAAATAATAGAGAATTCTTACCTCTATCAGGAGGCAGCAATATTGCATGTATTGTATTGGTGACAGAGCACAAGAAATTGCATTTGCATTGCTATATGACTCTCATAAAGAAAATCCTGCTCTCAGTATATAAGCAGAGCATCCACCTTTTGGATATAAATAGTCTCCTTTTTATTATGAGCTTAATAGGTATGTCTGATGATGGGATATATGTGGGAGCTTTAATAAGACAGTATTTCCAGTCAACTGTAGTTTTGCATAACTTCATTTATGTGAAAGATCCAAGTCTAGATGTGTTCCTTGATTTTAACTGCAGTTTGGAGGGGAATAAAATTTATATGTAAAGCGTGGTTCACCAGCAGAAAGACATGTTACTTTGAAAAAATTCCTCCTACCTCTTCTCTGAAAAGCTTTTTCATGAAATACATTATCACTTTAATCTGAATGTGCTGAATGGTTGAATTGAGGTTGCCCAGGTGACCTCATTTTGGGGACTTTCTAACCTATTGAGTGACTTCACAGCATTAATACACTGTTATTGTGCTCTGTGCGTGTGTTTAAAAGAATAACGCAGTTTCCTTGCGTTTTCTTGTGCAGGAGAAAGTGACAGAGACCTCTGGGTACACGGTGCATGCATGGGGAAAGCTGTCGCAGGAGGTAGCCGGTAGCTGACACTACCCTTGACTGTCTGCTTCTTCCCCTCTTTGCTTGTAGCACCACAATAGTCAGGATGGTATTTCTTTCCTAGATCTCTTCCAGCCCATTTCTCCTGTAATGTCTGCATGAAATTAGTGAGTCAGTGTTGGCCAGTGGCTCCAATCCCATTGCTTTTTGGATACAGGTAACCCACAGTCCCAACTGACACAACAGAAACATCAAAGGACCAAAAAAGCTAGATCTGATGATTTGAAGTTAAATAATTTTAATTCAATCTACCTTGACATTGTTGGACTACGGAGTTTGTAAAAACAATTGTCACATCCTCTTACTCGCTCCATACAGTCCGTTGATGCCTTGCTCTGAGCTGACTGCAAATACTCTGAGACTGCTGTGAAATCTCTTCATCACTACTACAGTTGACCTGGTAAATAGGAGTAGGTCTGAGGATTCAGAGAGAAATAGGTAGCAGTTTGTAAACTGGCAGTCTGCTTTTTTTCTGTTCTACAGGCATATATTTTTTTGCATTATGCTGTAAAACCTGGTTTTCATTTTCTCTGTTTCACTAATAGAAACGCAGTTTCCTCCTTTTTTTTCTAAGGTCTTGGAGTTACTCTTTGTACAGACATTGATACATCTGCATCAGCTTCCTTTTTGTAATTCATTCCCTTCCTTCTTTTTAAGCAGAAGACTGGTCTTTTTTTTAACTGAAACAGTCACTGCTATTCAATCATTTGGACAAATACACAAAAGAAATAACTTAAGCCTTATTTGTTTTCATTTGACAACAAGCAATTGGCATCCAATTGTTAGGTCTTAGTAACTCCTGCACTGTTACTTTTTGTGGTTTTCTCTGTACCATTTACTGAGTATAAACTATGCAATGGAGTAGAAATAACAGATATTAAAAGTGTTTGTGCAGTTCTCTGGTTTTTTCTCCTTTGCTTCCTGAAGGTCCTGCCTCATCTGTTTCTCAGTAATAAAATGACTCTTTTCTGTCTTGCAGGTTTTTCAACTGGGAAAGCAGATGACAGGATGAATGCTTTAAGGAAAGTATGTTGACGGAATTATCTGTTGCTTGATAACAAACACAAATAATTCATACCTACTTTTTTTAGTAATAAGTATCTTTGGTAGTCTATGAAAAGAAGTAAGTCCATGTACGTGATTTGTCCATCTTGATACAAACAATCATAGACCAATTTAGGTTGGAAAAAACCTTTAAGAGCATCAAGCCCAACCATAAACCTGACACTGCCAAGGCCACTACTAAACTATGTCCCTAAGTGCCACATCTTTTAAATACCTCCAGGGATGGCAACTCAATCACTTCACTGGGCAGCCTGGTCCAATGCTTGATAATCATTTCAGGGAATAAATTCTTCCTAATGTCCAGTCTAAACCTCTCCTGGCACAACTTGAGGCCATTTCCTCTCATCCTATCACTTGCTACTTGGGAGAAGAGACCGTCACCCACCTTGCTACACCCTCCTTTCAGGTAGTTGTGGAGAGTGAGAAGGTCTCCCCTGAGCTTCCTTCTCCTCAGCCTAAACAGCCCCAGTTCTCTCAGATGCTCCTCATAAGACTTGTGCTCCAGACCCTTCTCCAGCGTTGTTGCTTCTTTGGGCACGCATAATGAGCTTGCCCTGCAATGAAGTTCTGTTAATTCACATGAGGGTCCTCAGGACTCCTCTGCCTTGCCCCTGCTTTCTGGAGGAGGTTTAGGGCTCTTCTCAGACTCACAGGACAATAACTGATGTTTGAGCACTTCCATGGATCAGGAATAAGGCACTTCCACCCCTCAAAACAAATGGGGTTTCAGTGCTTGATTCTGTTAGCATGAGGGAGACCCCTTGGAGCAGGAGGGGGTCATGGTCTCGGTGCAAAGATCAGAGGTGGGGAGTGGACCACGGCTGGGTCAGGAGAGGGGAAGGCAGACCAAGCTGGCCACGAATCCAACGCTGCCACAGACCCACATGGAGCTTTGATCCCTCCGAGGAAGTCCTCTTTTGTGGGTTTCCCCGTTTTCAAAAGTTTGTTCGCATAGATGCTTTTGTATAGGTGTTTTACCCAGCATACAGTTTGCTCATCGCTCACAGATAAAGCTGACTATAAAATGAGAAACATTAGAGACTCCTGCGTTTTCCACAGAGCTCGCCCTCGTTTTCCATTGAGTTTCTTTGCTTTCAGACAAATCAAATTCACCTGCAGTTCAGCAGAAGATGGAAGTGCCTGTAACTCGCTGCGTCACTGGAAGCGAAGTAGCCAATATACAAATATTTGGGGAACGGCTAACATTACAGTTAAGAAGCTATTTAAAGAAGCAAAAGCAACCACGATTGCAATCTGGGCATAGTTAATGAATTATATGTCTGTAATCTTGTTTTTATCACAGGAGCTGAGGTTTTGCCTGCCTTCGAGTGAATGGTTTAAGTCCATTTGCCTGCTCTATAGAGTAGATGCCTGCAGACCTCCTTGTTTTGCTGAGGAAGCTGGAGGAGAAGGGCAGAGATGGAAACCAGTTACCTAACCAGTTGAAGTCTGGTGGTGGCTGCAGGGATGCGATGGGCCCACGATTTTTAACACTGTGAAGGGGACTTGTAAGTGCTCTGGAATAAAGGGCTGAGCTGTGGCTTTTTAAACGGGCTGCTCCATCTGCAAGGGAATCCCAGGGATGGGGAGGATGAAGGAAATGGAGTGAGGAGGATGCTGTTGAAGATGAGGTGCCGGTCTAGGCTGGATCTGGAAGTGTCTGAGCAAGGTCTCCAGCAACGCCCCAACACTCTCCTCGGGGCTCTCTGTGGGGACGAGACCTGGTGGTAGATGGTTTGTAGGTCCTGGGAGATTCTCTGAGATCTGGGCAGCATCTTTCTCTTCAGAAACATGGAGGTGCCATTTTCCAGTCAGCTGCTGTGGGCTGCCCAGCTTCCAGGCTCTTCATGGCTGTGTTGAGACGATACGAGGGCTGGGCGTGATGGGCAATGGAGACCTCAGGCTGGTTTTTTAAGTTTTCTTTTCCTCTATTTTTTTTTTTTTTTTCCTCTTCTTCCCACCAGGCAAGGAACATGCATGTTGCTACAACTCATCTTGGGACACTCATTCACCTGCAAACTCATCAGCTGCATGGGATTGAAGTTGGGGCCGCGCTGGGAGGGTTTCAAAATTGCAGCACTGCTTGGGATCAGTTCGTTTGGATGCTCTTAACCCTGTGGTGGCCTTTCTCTCTACCCAGCCCTCCCCAGGGAAAGACTTGGCCCAGGTTACACCGGGGCCGCGGAGTTGCCCTCCCAATTCCATGCCCACAGCCTCAGCCCCCTCCCCAGCTGCGTGGGGGCTGATGAAAAAAAAAAAAAAAACTGGATGTTTTTTTTCAGTGCTGGTTTACAACAAGGTTATGCTAATGCCGGGGGGGGGGGGGGGAAGGTCTCTCAGCAAACCAGGTGGGGCTGAACTAGTGCATACTGGTGTAAACTGGTGCGTGGCAGGGAAAGGAGAAGCAAAGGGCAAAGCAAGGCAGAAGGAAGCGGGGAGGAGAGATGGGAGTCCTGCCAAGACCTGGGCTGCAAATGTGACGGCCACAAAGCACAGGGACAGGGAGGTGAGGGGACAGACAGCGCTGCTCGGTGCAGAAGGTGGGCAGAGCTATTGCATCCCAGGGGCCTTTGTGAACAGACCCAAACAAAAACGTGTCTTTGTGCTTTAATGCTAAGCTTAGGGGTGTTAAGAGAAGAGGGCAAATCTGGGCACCAATCCCACCCTGCCCCATGATGATGTGATGTTGAAACCAGTTTCACCATGTGCGTGTTAAACCTTCAGAACCAAGTGCCAGTCCAAAGTGGCTGTGAGTTCCCTTCCTGCTCTGAAAACGGTTTTCTTTTTGCAATCAGCTCGCTGTTGTCACACTAACACTAAGCCAAACAGGTCAGGCTGGTTTTCAGGAAGGAAAAAAACAAGAAAAAAAAAAAAAAGTCAAATATTTTCCTCATTGCAATTAAAAAGCTTCAACCCAAACCCATGGTCACAGCCCAAAAGTCCCCCCTGGATCTGAATCAAGAGAGGTACTGCCAAGACGACTTTTATTTCCCTTCCCTTTTCCAGTCTTTGTTATTATCTAGGAACTTCAGACTCAGAATGGAAGCACTTTTTGCTCAACAAGCTGGAAGGGCTAATTTGGTAGTGCTGTTTATTAAGGCACCCCTGACACATGAAAATACCCCTTCTTGGGGCTAAATCCCATTTAAATTAACTCACTGTTGTGGTTTAACCCCAGCCAGCAGCTCAGCCCCGCACAGCCGCTCGCTCACTCCCCCCGCGCCGGGATGGGGGAGAGAATCAGAGGGGTAAAAGTGAGAAAACTCATGGGTTGAGATAAAGACAGTTTAATAGGTAAAGCAAAAGCTGCGCAGGCAAGCAAAACAAACCAAACCAAGGAATTCATTCCCCATTTCCCATGGGCAGGCGGATGCTCAGCCATCCCCGGGACAGCCGGGCTCCATCCCGCGTAACGGTGACTCGGGAAGACAATCGCCATCACTCCAAATGTGCCCCCCTTTCCTTCTTCTTCCCCCCAGTTTTATTGCTGAGCATGACACCACGTGGCCTGGGATGTCCCTGGGGTCAGCTGGGCTCATCTGTCCCAGCTGTGTCCCCCCCAGCTCCTCGTGCCCCCCAGCCACTCGCTGGTGGGGTGGGGTGAGGGGCAGGAAAGGCTTTGTGTAAGCCCTGCTCAGCAATAACTGAATCATCCCTGTGCTACCAGCACTATTTCCAGCACAAATCCAAAACATAGCCCCACACTAGCTACCCTGAAAAAAATTAACTCTATCCCAGCCAAAACCAGCACACTCAACACTCTGGAGTAACATAAGCATTCAGGTGAACATCACCACTAAGATTAACCTGAGCTGGTGGTTTATCCACTGGCCCTGGCTACAGAGCCCTCGGGCTGCCCTGGCCAGAAAAGCTCTCTCGTTCTTGCCCAAGGCTGTGCCTCCTCCTCAGGCATTGCCCATTACCGAGCTGTGCTCCTGAGGCTGTACAGGGCTGCGTACCGCTGTGCAGCAAAGGCAAAACAGCAGAAATTACTCTTGCCTATTTGCAAAATCACAGTAAACCCATCTTTTTCATGGTGTTGGTGCATGTGAGAGCAGCCAGGCACCAGAAACGAGAGTTGATTGCCTCTGCTTGCTCAAGATGTTATGCTAGTCATCCATAAAATTCTCCTACAGTCTACTGCACACCCTCCGAGTTGTATTTTGTAGAGAGGTTAGAGGCAGCAGTAATTCCTGCCATTATGGTCGTGCTTTGTAATTCAGCAATACTCTTCAGGGGTTGCAATAACTCACGTTGCCCCTGATACAAGTTAAATATTGTCCCTGTTTCTCCTCACAAGTCAGAGACAGCATTTCCAGAAACTGCATGAAAATGTTCTTTTGGCACAGCAGGTTTAGGGAGGGAAACAGGGCTTACATGGATGGGTGGTAATTAAAATGACCCAGTTTCATATTCACGTTCCTTAGTGCTGGTTGTTCAGGCTTCCCCCAATAGCAGTAACAACCCTGGAAGCATAAAGGGGTGGTTCAGGGAGATTTTATCACTTTGACCGCAACTGCATTATTCTTTTTAAAGCTGGATGTTTCTCTATTTGGGCCCAAATTACCAGCATCGAACTGCACCCAACCCAGAAGAGACTGAAAGGAAACTGGTTGTGCCAGGATATAGCTTTCTCTGGCAGGCTCTTTGTCTTCATTGCCATGGTCCCACATAAAAAGCTGCTTGTTTATAGAACATACATTAAAAAACAAAACCCAAACCCAGCCTGGAAACCGCAGTCGTCGAGCAACGTTCGTGTTCATGGGGTGAACACAACACTTGAGAGGGGAATCTTTTAGGATGATTTCCATCGTAGGAGTGAGAACACCTTATGGATCACGTACATCAGGGTAGCTAAGAATGCAAATACCTGCAATGGAAAAACACATCAGCCAGTTAACTTTTTATTATATGGTATGAGTTCCTGCACTGAGCAAATACCTTGTGATGCATTATATTTCTATTGACTCTTGCATGTTTGGAGACGTTCATGCGAAGTAGGACTGGGACTAGTGTCATTCCCCCTTCCATTGCTGGTGTGAGTAAAGATTTGCCCTTGAGGCCACTCCACAGTCACCTCCACACATTCCTTCCCCAGCCTGCCGGGCACTCACCACAGCAGAAATGTTCTCCTGGTAGATTATCAGAGGGTGGGTAGGCAAGCGAGCACCATAGGTGAAGTAGGCTTCCAACACGGCAGCACTGAGGTAGAAGAGAGCTGCTGTTTCCTGGCAGATGACATCCTAAGAAACAAGGATCACACCGTTATTTCCAAGGAGGGAACACACTGCAAAGGGGGGAGCTAAAAAAAAAAAAAAAAGGAATCCACACAAGCAAGTACCAGCCTGCAATTTGGAGTGCAGTAACAGCAAAGGAAACAATTGTCTACTGGTGATATCGGGGAAGGGAGAGGCCCTGAGGTTTGTCACCTCCACTTACCAAGGTGACCCAGGAGCTGCTGCCCCCATGCACCCCACAAATGTAGAGGCCCAGGAGGGTGGTGGACATAACAAAGCAGAACACAGAGACAAACATCACCCAGCCTTGCAGGATGGGTAACGGGACCCTCGAGGATGCCACCAGGATCCAGACAAGGCCTCCGAAGATCTGCAAGTGAAAGGGGGAGAGAGGGCAAGCATGGGGTAAATTGATTTATCCAGAGCAGAGCCAAAAGCCATGCACGCCTCTGGCACTAGCCCAGGGCTGCCTTTGAGTTCTTCCTGGCCTTCACCTGAAATCGGGTATTCAGCTGGGAACATTTGCCTCTGATCTTGACCTCAGAAAGAGTCTTGCCTCATGGCGTCACTGCTATTCACACCCTCCCTACACCAGTGTGCTCAGGAAGGTGGTTCAGAGAGTTTTTAATGTTGGGTTTCGATCGACAGGGAGGCTTATTTCAGAAGGGCATGTTTGCTTCATACCCAGTGTGGCAGGATCATCTGAGCTGCAGGCAGCACCTTCTGGCATTTTCACAACTCCCTTAGCATTTGAAATGCCAATTTTTTTTTTTTTTTTTTTTTTTTTTTTGTAGTCACCCTATGAACCCACTGCAGGCAACCTCAGATTCTACTAAGGACCGAGAAACTCTTTATCCTTCTGAATGCTGTGATTCAAGGCAGCCGCCTCCTTTGTACACAGTAGAGATAATACAGCTGCACAACCTAGAGTGTACGCCTCCAGAGATGGAGAGATCCAGCTATGCAGCATTCCTCTTCCCTGGGTGGTTCCTGAGCCTTTAGGATCCACATTTCCAGATTTCACCCAAACCAAAGGACAGGGTGTTTATTTTTGTCTCATTATTGCTTTGCCAAATGCCCTGGAGATAGGGATTACAAACAGTTTAAGGCACAGCCCTTACTTTAAGCATGCCGAGGTCAACAGCACGTTCACTACCACAACCCAGGGGCAGGGGTGGCTGGCAAATGTCTGCCCTGCCAGAGCCTCCACGGGGACTTTGCACCTTCCTTCGCGCAGCTGCAGGAAACCTGGAGCTTGCTCTCAGGGCCTGGGCGCAGAGACCAAGACCCCAGAACATACTTGGAGGAGCCGAAGCAAAGCCTTTCTCTACACATCAGTAATGCCTGCTTCAACCCAACTCGTATCACTAGGAGAATGAAGTAAACGCTGTAAATCCCACGAGTGTGGACTGAATTGGGTGACAGGAAAGGATTTGGTCCCAGATGGCAAAGTTGAAGTTTTTAGCATGAAATCATCTGAATGCCATCCTACAACACTCAGCCAAACCCCTCGATGCTGGATGAAAGTGCCCAGGCTTTGGAAAAAGCCTCTCAAACTGTGGTGAGAAGAGCAGGTTTCATGGGTGGGGGCAGAGGGCACAGAAAAAAGGTTCTAGTTGAAACTTTCCATATTTTAGTCAGCACTCACAGCAACTGTTTTTAATCACCTGTGCCAAATCAATTAAGATTATGATCTCCTCCTGCTCAATGAAATTACAATATGGGAAGAATTTACAAGGTACTTGTCCACCCTTTACTCACCCACTGTTGCCCACACCCCCAGGTCCAGCACGCCACAGCTGAGCAGTACAGATTCAGCAGCCTAGGCTTTGCTGCTGCAAAAAATTACCTCAGGTAGTCTTTACTCCCTGCTTTAAGCAAGCAGTTTATCCTCTGTCTGTATTAGCTGCTAAAATCATCTTCCAGTGAATTAATTGGCTCAGTTTAGCAACCTAGTTTAATCCCACCAGCACCCCCTTCCTTCAGCTTTGTTAGGCAGGAAATTGCAAAAGGTTTTCAGAGGCACCACAAAAATCCCCTGCAGTCTTAAGGAGAGCTCCAGAGCCTCAGCTCAGGGCATCTGGTTTACTTTGAGGGCATGCTAGGCTTTAGGGGCCGCCTCTAGACCCTCGTGGCTCAGGGACGCGGCGTGGCTCCTGAACCCCACACGCTTTGCATAGAGTCTCATCGCTCAGGCACTCTGCAGCGTGAGGTTTGCTGGATGCCCCCACAAACAGCATCTGCCCTCCCCCTCCTCAGGGCAAAGTCAGCACTCACAATTTCAGGAATGAAGAGCACATCTGGGAAAGTTGTCAGGACGGCCAGGCCGCTGGGCAAAGAGGTGGTGGAAGTTGCTGAGGGCATCGCAAGCCTCTCCCACGGTGACCGTCAGCTGCTTTCACTCTAGCTGCCGGAGGTAGCTGCTAAACGCAGCCTTCCCTCCCTCTCTTTCTCTTCCTCCTTCCCTCCCCTTCTTCCTGGTCTTCCTCCTTCCCTCCCTCCTTCCTGCTGGCAGGTGAAGACGGCTACCAGGGGTTACTTTGGTGGCTGAGGGGAGCCACACAGGAGGTTTCCAGGAGCTACGGGCAGCCCTGAGGCACTCTGAGCAGAGACATCTCCACACAAGCTGGGCAAGACCCGGGAGGGGGAGGGGGGTGGTGAGTGGTACTGCCTTACACCTGAGGGTAACAGGGAAGACGTGTAGCTACTCAGCTGAGCAACCCCCTCGCCTGATTTATCTGTGCAGTAAGTGCGTCTGTCCCCCACCCATACGAGGTGGCCCCAGCCGGGGGCCCAAGGGTGGCTGGCAGCCGGGACGTGCCAGTGGGACCGGGAAGCGACCGTCTCGCAGATGGACATCCATGCCAAAGCAAGGGCAGTCAGACTGCTGGGTGAGCTGTTTCCAGTGTCTCGGAAGGAGACTGGATGTGCCAAGGTAACAAAAATGACCTCATATAATGAGATTTCCCAAGCCATTTTGATACCTAAGATTATTAGAAAAATAGACACTTGTGGAATAGTTATTAAGATCAATTTAAGCTGTTTTAATCATCGTGCTGCAGAACAAATAGTCATCTTTTGAGGAATAATTAGAATAACTGTAGGATAAGGAACTCATAAATAATCTCACTTGAGACGGTTCAGCCTTGTAGCAGCAGGTGCAAAGAAACATAAAGATAAGGAAGCTGCAAATTAGCAACAAGACCAGACCAGACCAGGCCAGCCTGGAAGGGCAAGATCTATGTGACCACAGGACTGAGTTTGTGCAGAATTAAGGGTCAACTGGCAGATACAGTGAAGAAGACCACGAGCCTTCATTTGAAGAATTCCCGACAACCACCTGAAGACTCCAACAGACATGCTTAAGAGGCATTAACATATCCTAGTAAGTTCCTGGAAAAGTTACGAATGTGAGAAAAATTTAATATAATGAGTATGTATGATTAAAGTAGTATAAAAGCTTGTTGATTTTGTCTTCACACACACACATTAAGGAGGAGCTATCCCCTGTGTGTCCAGTGCTGTAATAAAGAACGCCTGCTTTCTAAAACTCCAAAATTGAGTTTCAGAGAGAGAATTAATTACCGCTTTCCTGTAACAATTTGACTTCTTGTTTTTTTTGGCTTTTTTTGAGAGTCATTCCCCTCTGCTCCCAGAGCCTCCAGCCAGCCCCCCCCCCCCCCCAGCTGTTACGGGGGGCACGTTCAGTCACGGTGGGTTTGCTCTCCGTGAGCGCAGCGGCTGGTGTCCCAGCCCTAGGGCAGGAGTGGGGTGCCCTGGGCAGTGCCGAGTGCGGTGGCGAGGCCGCAGGAGCCGGTGGAGTAACGGTGGAGTAACGGTGGCATCTGCAGATCCCTCTGGCTGGAAGCACAATTTTGCAGCAGGCTGGCAGGCAGGAGGGAAACGGGGAGAGCTTTGCAGGGAGGAAAGGAATAAACACCTGCCCTGAATCCAAGGGGCACAGAGGGATGGCGAGCATCAAGTGCAAGAAAGGAAGACAGGGTGAAAACTTTTCCTCACAGAAGCAGCAGTGGGGCAGATGGCTGGAGGAGGCTGCAAAATCCCCAAAATTGGACAAATTTTGTATTTGTCCTTCAAATGGAAGCTGGTAATATAAAGTGTATAATGCTACAACAAAAACTAGGCCAAAAAGTCTAAGACAGTAACAAGAGGGCACTTCTGGTTTTGACTACTCCCTACGTGAATTGCTGAACAAAACGCAGACGAGTGATCTCTAAGCAAGTTGCTACTTCATGAGATAAGTGGTCCCAGGGCACAGACAGGCTACCTGACCTCAATTAGCTCTGCTCTTCAGGAAACACACCCAAACATCTTCCCAACCTCCTTGCTCCCAAGACCTACAGTCCTGCCCTTCAGCCTCTCTCAAACCTACACGACTCCCCCAGGAGCTGACTGAATGCCCCAAGCCAGCAGAAACCCATCCGCCTCCCTTTTTTGGGTTAGTTTTCTGCCAGGTTAGCTAACTGCACCGGCCCAGGCATCCTGCTGAGCGTCAGAGCTAACACAAGGTAAAGGGCAAGACAGCCAGGAGCAGGGTAGGGGATCGCCCCTGTCCAGCATGGGTGAGCTGTAACATCACTCCAGCCCATCCTACAAAGCCACAGCTGTAATTAACAGGAACTGAACTACTAAGAATTATGCTAAAATTAATTAGGGTCCACAATCTGGTAGGAGGCGTGATACCAAACCATGACAGCCACAATTTTAGAAAGCAATGCTTTGATAAAGGTGATGTTAAACAAAAAGAAATGAAGACAAACAAAAATCCCTCTGTAAGGCATGGATTCTTGGTTAGGGAAACCACCGTCACAGAAACCAAGCCCTGCTGTTAGTTACTTAGTCACCACAGTAAAAATGGGATGGTGTAACATCCACCTCTCTCTGCCTGCCTGCCAAGCTTCAAAAGACAATTAAAGCTGAAATAGAAAGCCTTCAAAGCAGACATTTATTCCTATCAAAGTCAAAAGGAGCTTCAAGAGCTGTAAGGTCAGTCAAGAAGAAAGGAAGACTACAAGGCCTATCACACAGCACACAACTAAAAGGCACAGTTTCAATACTGTAGAAGCAGCAAAGCAGTAAAAGAATTGATGCCTTACTGGATCACCCAAGGAAAGAGGAGCAAGGGCACGGACATGGAAAGAAGAGATTTGTGCGCAGGACTCTGCAAAACAGGAGACTCCTCAGGTTCTTCTGTTCTGGACACATTCCCTTCCAGCAACACACAGGAGTGCTATCAGAAACCAGAAACTCTGAAACACAATTGACAGTAGAAAACAGTAACAGCCACCAGGATTTCCCCAAAGATACCCACGGAACCCGAGAGTTTCCGTGTGAAGCAGCTGAGCTGGTACATACATGACTTCCCTCACCAAAACTAACTCCCATGCCAAAGTGCCGGGGAGCAGAAAATCAGGCTTCTTCCTTTCTGAGACCTCAAGCAAAGCTCACCCTACCGATTTCTGTGTCCTCACTTCTTAACTGGCTGACCATATATGACAAAAAGAACTGAATTAAGGCAAACATAGTATAACAGATACCACTGCAGGAACAATAATCTCACTAATTATCACAACTATTTGAATTTCAGTAAAGAGGAAAGTAAAAGAAGGGCCTTTTATTTTGTAAGATGCTGAAAATCTTTGGAAGGGTCCACCCACACTAGATGAATAATCTGTCAGATGGTAAATGAAGTTCAACCTTTATTAAACCAAAGCAACGCTTATTCCTCCCTTCCCCTCAATATGCTGTGATATAAATTAATCAGCTGAACAAAAGAAACTGACCTAAAATCACCTCAGAATACACCTCAAATCCATGTGCAGTTACTACCAAAACCAAAGGTACTAGGATGGGGTCAAACAAGATGACTTACTAATACAACTCCAAAAGAATGGCATAAATTACAGAGGTCCTGGGAACAGGGGTGATTAAAATGGCACTTTCATACCAAGACACAGAGAAGTACTTCTAAATGAGAGATGAAGTAAATATAGAGCAAATTAAGAAACCACCTCATTTAACTCCAGCCATATTTCCTGAAACTGAGCAGGACAGGATACTATCTCTTTCTCACAATCAAAAAATCGTAACTCTGCTTTTACACTTTGCTGACCACCCTACAAAAAGTCTTTCCAGCAGTGAAATACAAAACCACAAAGGACAGAAATTACGTGTATGACAGCAAAAAAAACTTTCACTCTTTCTAGTGGGTGTCATTATGGATGAGAAAATTCAACAGAAGGTGAATTCAAAAATTTTCCTGACACATAACTGCAATCAGAAAAGCAATTTTGCTATCAATCTCTCAGCTAGACTTCAGGTGAAGATATATTACTTGACAAGTTTATTGAGACACAACAAAACCATGCAGATGAAAATGTGACATGTAACACTGAAGAATACTCAACTCCCAAAAGCCCCACTATTAGCAGATTGTCTGTGTTTTGTTAAAGATACATCAACCATCTTACAAAGTAGTAACTCAATTTCACTATTAACTTTAGCAGTCTTCAGAGGAGACATCTCTGGACAAGGGAAGAGATTTTAATGTTTTAGCTATCTATCATGGCAATATAGCTTCACTAAAAAGAAAAAAACAAAAACAACTTAAAAACCCAAACATCATCTCCCTTTCAGACCCTCACTGAAAACAGTGTTACGTCCAGGGTTTATGTCCCTGGGATATATTAAGAACTAAGCAACCCAGATGAAGCTTCATCTCCTACAACAAACTTGCACTGGTGCTAGACAGGAGACACATTATTGTTGATTGGGTATGTCTGATAGAGAGCTAACAGCATGAACAAGTCGCCCATTTCCTTTCTTGTGGTACATTCATTATCGTCTTCTCCAAGGCCTTTTTGAAAGCTGAACTTGGGTGGGAGGGCAGATGATTAGAAAAATATTCTTTTAAACCAAAAATCCCTACTTGTGGTGCACTAGCATGTTTCCAGGTACCAGCTAAACAGAAGGGCTCATAGCAGCAGGATTGTACCAATCTGACCCATACCCTCATTCCCTTCGAGTCTCCATAGTTCAGTCTGTGCCACAGGCTCTTACTTAAAATTTTAAGACCTCCAGATTAGAAGCTCTGCTGTGGAAAGCACACAGATAAAATAATGCTTCCAACAGGCTACACACAACAAACTTAAAAAAAATAAAGGCAAAAAAAGCCTAAACAAACCCAGACACACTACTAATTGTTATCTCCATACTAATCACAGCAGAGGAACACAATGCAGAAGTCCATCCCAGCTTGCCAAGTTGCAAACGTTTGTCCAAAACAGCATCTGAAAGCAATCTGCAGTCATTCGCTATAAAAGTACTTCCCTGTCAGCTCAGCAGCCATGGGGAAGCTTTGAATTAGACTATTCTCATCAAATACCTTTTTCATAGAGCTCTCATACCAGGAGAATTCTTCCATAGGCTTCTTTGCAGGCAGAAGTCACTTCTAATGTTCATCCACTTGGCAAGTGTTTCCATCTTCCACATTGTGTTCTTGGAGTAACATTACCAAGTGAGGAAAAGCATTATTTTTTCATAGAAGTAAGTCTCTTCACCCTAAAAACCTAAAGCATACCTATCAGACACATGCAAACGCTGCAAAGAATTAATACAGAAAATTTATTTTCCACTCCAAGAGATCTCAATAGTGACATTTCAAACTCAGCAGAAATAAGCTTTAAAATAAAAGACTGCAAGACATATGGTAAAGCATACATCCAGCCCTCAAAAAGAGCTGGAGACTTCTTCAGACAAGATGTGCTTCTTAAAAAAATATTGCTGAAGGTGAAAATTCATTTCCATTTAATATTACCATATTTGTTTTTGCAGTTCTGCAAATTAAGTCTTTCTCTCCCAAAGAAACTCCTCCTGATACCGAGAGGCTTTGCCTAAACAACAACTTGAGGACTCTCATTACAATGTTTTACAGTAAAATCATCTGAAACACCAGTAGACATCTTTCACCTCTCCTAAAAACCAAACAGAGAAAAGTAACGCCTTAGGACATCCCAATAAATTGAGGTGAGCTAAGAAATGGCACAGGGTTTGTTTGGATCAGCAGGGTTCCACCGGATCACTGCCATGCTGCTTTTCAAGTGTTTCAGGATTCAAGTTCACTTTGGCACAGTGCAAGAAAGCTGCTAATTCCCAGCAGCAGAGATCTTCCTGTATTTGTATATGAAAGCATCCGTCTTTCCAAGACTAACCCCATAGATGCCATCTGGCACCAGAGACCCAAAACGTATCTGTTGGCTGCTGAGAAAGGATTCTTTGACACCATTCACCAAGCAAGAAGAATCCCCATCAATATTCAGGGATTTTGCAGTGGTGGTTTCACTTGCACCATCAGAAGGGGCATTAGGAGAGTCATTTTCAGCACACTTGGTAACTCCATCCATGCGCTTATGGAGATCTTGGCTCAGCAGCAATACAACAGTCCCTCCAACACGAAGTACTCTGGCAATTGCAAGAAAAAAAAAAAAGTTAGGTAGTCATCCTGCCTGGTATTCTTTCATCTGCGCAGACCTCAACGCTGCTGACACTTCAGATGCCAGCTGCATTCAATAAAACACCTAAGCACAGTAAGGGTCATGGGTCAACCCAGAAATCTACGTCCCCAAATAGAGTATCAATTCCCTATCTTCATAACTCTTCCTAAATGGGAGAACTGGGCCTTGTCCTGACCCACAAACATTTCTGACCTCAGGAGTTCTTTCCATCGGGTTAGCAGGGAAGATAGACGCAGTTTTTTCCCCTCTTAGTATACTTCTATCTGCAAAGGAACTGCTTCCCAGCGCAGCAAGAGCTTTCAAGGTTGGTAATGCAATTCTGAAGCTGGCCTTTCCCTTTAAAAAGTTTTAAAAGTCTGTCCTTTCCACGTTCCACTGATCCTTCATGGCTTCCTGGCGTGGTTTAAACCCAGCCAGCAGCCAACACCACACAACCACTCACTTGGAATTGGAGGGGTAAAGGGAGACTCATAGGTTGAGATAGAAACAGTTTAATAATTGAAATAAAATAAAACAGTAGCAGAAAATACAAATGGGTAATGTACAATCTGACTGCTCACCACCCGCTGACTGATACCCAGCCCGTTTCTGGCTAGCTATCCCAAAATACCAAGACCCTGCAATCACAATCCCAGAAGTGAGAGAGAACCCCCTCCGTCCCATCTGACCCTCCTCTATACACTGAGCATGACGTTACATGACATGGTGTTGGCTAATCTGGGTCCGGTGCTCTGGCCGCGCTCCCTCCCAGCTTCTTGTGCACCCACACCCGGGCAGGATGTGGGGAGTTGGAAAGTCCTTGATCTCTCAGCAACAACTGAAAACATCAGTGTGTTATCAGCATTCTTCTCATACCAAATCCCATACTGAATCCAAAACACAGCCCTATTCTAGCTACTAAAATGCCAAATTAACTCTATCCCAGCCAAAACCAGGACACCTGCAAACTCAGGAAGCAAAGAAAAATTAACTACTGTTTGTAATCCATTTTTCTTACTACATGAGCAAACACCACACTTGGCTTTGAAAGGGGGGCCGGGGAGGAAATACTATCCTGGCTCTGTTCACAGCAAGTGGATTGAACAGTCTTACTGGTGGGGCTCTCATGGTAATGGTCTGTTCCTCACCTCCACCTTCCCAAGGTAATATTTTGCTTAGGATGGCCCAACAGAGCAAATGAGACCAGAAGACAAGCACAGCCAAAGGGAGGGATGGCCAGGGTAAGCTGACGTAAGATTGCCCTGGCATTCTGTGGAGCTACCTCACCTTCTCCACCATCTTCCCGCCACATTCCTGCACTGGGTGAGATCAACACCTACTGAAGACCAACCCTACAGAAAGGGTTGTTTTCAGTCAAGAAATTAAATAAAGGGGCAGATGGTTTGAACTGCCTGTTAGAAGCAGCCCGCTATTAGCTTGGCTCAACTCTGACAGAAAATGACAGGGTGAGAGATGAAAGGAAGCAACCAAAAGCAGACCAGGTGGCTAGGAGGATATGACAGCATATGCTAACATAGCACCATTTTCTGGTCTGAGGTCCTTCCTGCCGACGCAGGCTGGTAAAAGCTTGGTTGTGAACTCAAAAGGAAAGCCTATGATTTTATACAAGCAGACCTCAACCAAGAAAGAATTATTGCTTTATTTCCCTAGCCATGTTTTAAGTTTGTCTAGGTCATCCTCTCCTCTTTCTCCTTTCTGCCCTGTAAAGAATATTCATGATTGTGGCTCACACAACAAGCTCATTCCTTGTCAGCTTGCACTACCATCAGCACTTCCACAGCTTGCAAGACACACCACAACAGCTTCTAAGGCACAAATAAAGGTCTCAGACTTTCACAGCCTGCACAGAGCTGGAGAGTGTTTGGAATAAAGCAAAACTGAAGCTGACTGAACAGATAGGATCGCAAAACATGACATTTATAGCAAACTCCAAGCATGTCAAAGGCCACAGGTACCTCTCCATTTCCTGGAGAATATCTGGTAGGAGCTGTATGTCTTTTGTGATCTTGAACTTCTTCCCAAATGGAATGTCCGAAATCACAGCGTCGAAACCTTCTGAAGGCAAGGGCAATGCTGCAGAATAAAGACAGGTCTTTACATCCAACTGTGTGAAAAATGAACAGCAGCTATGGCCCCATTCACCTTACAAAACTGGCTGCCAGCTCTTTCACAGGTTATGCGCCCAGGTTCACAGCTCCTTCTGCACTTTTCCTCAGCAATGGCACAACAAAGCTACCAACCCAATGCAGACTGAGAATAGACAAATGCATGACAGCATGGTTTAGCCTGTAAATTTCCTGTTACTGGTGATAAGCCTGCCCCAAGAGCAAGACTCTCCCAACAGGGGACTGCATGGTTCCAATCTAACTGCTCCTTCTCTACAATCTTTATAAGCACAGTGCAAAAGAAGAGCTAAGTTTGCAAAGACTTTACTTAGCACAGATTTTCAGATGCACACATATGAACAGCAAGGAACCACGTTAAATTCCTCTCCATCCCCCTTTTCTCCCCCCAAGAATCTAGTTGCAGCCAGAATCACTTGGATTCTGTCAGATCTAGCGTCTTTGAAGTCTCTCCCCAGAGTTTCTGCATCCTGGGAACAGTCAGTTCTCTTGATCACGAGGCAGCACTGCTCCCTTGTGGTGATGAAGGCTGTGCTGGCCAGAGCATAGCCAGCACGTTAAAGGGTGAGACTATGGGTTCTCCATCCCTCAGGATGCTCAAAACTCGACTGGACAAGGCCCTGAGCAACCTGACCCAGCTTTGGGGTTAGCCCTGCTCCGAGCAGATGGCAGGACTAAAGACCTCCAGTGGTCCCTTCCCACCTAAACCCTGCTGTGATGATATGCTAGAACTGGATGGAGATGTTTCTCGGACCACCCCTGGATTAACACTTGCAGCATAACAATTTTATAATGATTTTATCTACAAATGGAAGGACAAGTTACCCACAGTCCTTCTCAAGACATGCAGAAATAACAGCTTCTGACCAGTGACAAAGACACCAATTCCTTGTTCAGTACTAGAAAAGCCTGACGTCAGAATACCTTACATTACCCTAGAAGCCAAGTCCAATCACAGCTTTTAATTAAGAAATAAAGCTATATATATTATTCTAAAAAAGAAATAATATTTCTTGCCATTCTGGCAAGAAATAGACATTGCAAGGTAAAAAAATACACATACTTCATCACCCATGAACAGGGAAGAACGGCCAGCTTTTGTCTGTCATGAATTTCATAAAGAACTAATTTAGACTCAGGCTTTGAGGTCCGGAATAAGGTAATAAAATTATTACCTTCTCCCCAGAGTAGCTCATGAACTGAGAGCAAACAGATTCCCCCTTCCAGGAAAAAGGCATTGCCATTTAAAACACTCCTACTGCACAACATCAACAGTTCAGCTGAGCTTAATGAGTCTCCTCTATTACACATCTGGTACGCTTAAGTTACAAGCCACATTTTATCTGGATTTGTCCTTCCTGTAAGACTCAGAGAACTTTCCCATAGTACGTATTTCTTTGTGGTATTCACAAATTTACCATTAAGGCAGACAACTACTGCCCATGTCTGACAATCATTATTTTCATTGTCTTCTGCCAAGTTTATTCTTGCCAAAGTTCCTGGAGGCAGGGGGAACAAATAATTATCCACTCACTGGCACTACAGTGCCACAAACTGAGCTATTTGTTGAGAGCTAGCTCTACTACACATACCCCTCAAGAGAACCTACATTGCCTGTATAGTTCCAGAACCACAAAAAATTTCAAACACGTCTCACTTGGAAAGCCTACAGGCATACCTTTCACAGAAGCTTTAAGTAACTCGATCTTATCCATCAAGCCTGCAGTCCTAATATTCACATCTGCACCCTCTAACTGCGATTCACTTATATCAGCACCCCAGTAACAGGCTTCCTGTTCAGAGAAAAAGAGAAAAGTCATTTTGTTGACAACCAGTTGTATTTATTTTAGAACCCCTTCTCAGAACTGCCTCTTTGCACAGCTCTTCCAAGACAAACCCCTTCCTGAGAGATCTACCACCATTACACAGGGCAATATATAGACCCAGAGGGGAGAGGAATGGGGGAAGCCTGTGCTACCTTAACTCCTTTCATGCTCTAGTCTGCTCAAGACACTGGTAACTTAGAGAAGTACTGAGGTGATATCCTAACAGCAAGTCCCCAGCTAGCTACTGATGGCCACACTGCCTCTAGTACTGACATGTGAGTGTACCATCACATTGACACCTCCATTCCCAGGGTAAGTCTGGGCAGTTTTAAAAAAGTCCATGGTTGCCTCACACAAGCCCTGCAGTATAAATCCAGGGCTCCCAGCACCCACCTGCATAAGCATGTAGGACTTGCCTTCACATTCCTGTGGAGGAATGTTTGTACTAAAACACTTTTAACAACTACCTAGAAAGATCAGTTTGGTTCCCGCTTTCCAGTAACGGAGTTCAGTATAACTGTGGTAGATTTTTCTTGATACAACTACAAGCTGTCTTGCAAAGGTCCTGCCTGGTGCCACTGTGATACTCACGGGCCACTCCTTGGCAGCTTCCAGCAGTATTGTTCCTAGCCCACACATGGGATCCAGCACAAAGGCACCTGCCTACAAACATAAAGGGGTTATTGCATCCCAAGCAAGACTCCTCTCCCAGGACAAAGCTTACTCAGGAATGTATGGTTCACCCACATATTCCCACTGAATCCAGAGCTGGTATCAATAATCAGTGGTTTACCAGGCCAAACTTACTTGTAGAAGAATATAAAAAAAAGCATTGTTTCACTGAAGACAATGCATCTAGCCTTGAGGTGAAATTTAGGGGGAAAAAAATTATGAGTGGAATGCAGACAGATATCGGCACCAAATTAATCTACAGAAAAGATCATGCTTGCTTCTGCTTCCCTTGGGAGAACAACCCCAAACAAGGTTTGAAGACTGGACAGTGAAAAAATCTTGCAATTTAGACATGTATCTGTAGAAGGAGTAACACCTCTCCTGAGAAGGATCTGGGATTACAGCAGATCTCTGGTTGAACAGCAGATGACAGCACACTCTGATCACAGGTAGGGTGAACCCTGTCCACATGCATTAGAGCATGGGGCATTAAAATCACCACGCTTCCTCAGAGCTTCCCGCTCCAGCCCTGAGGAGCAGCAACTGTCCCTTCCATCAGGACTCTCCACCTTTGCCATGAACATTCACTTACACTGATTTCAGCCAGAGATGCCATGGCCCATGCAATTGTTGATCGCAGTCCTGCTGTTTTGATATACTCTCTATTTGCCAGTGGAAGCCTGCAAACAGAAAAAAAAAAAAAAAAAATCAACATAAAACAATGGTACAATCACCAGAAAAGCCCACGTAATATGAAAGAACAAATAAACTGAACAGATCTGCAGCCACACAGGCAGATAGAAACCAGTCTGCTCTAATCCATAACTTACTGCAAAGTATGGACTACATGCTTAGATAAGCTCCAGAAAAACCACAAGACTAATGCGACAGTCAGTGAATATTAAACCAAAAGATAATTACTCACAGTGGACAGCAAGACTATTTAGAAATTATGCCTGTTCTGATACTTCCAAGGCAAATCTGGAGAGGAGAATGCTTACCTGAAAAGAGGAATCCCCACGACAAAATGAATGTCATTAAGATGTATGAAGATCTGAAAGAGGAAAAAAATTACATTAGAAACTCTCAACCTGACACGACAGTAGCTTTAACTTATTTAAGCCAGACACAGAAGATGTTTCTACAAACTTTTGATCCTAGTTTTTAACAACAAAAATGCACCCTTTAGACAGCTATGATTAATTGGAAGAAATCACACTAGATAATCAGAATGTAATATTTAAGCAAGCTGGAAGGGGAACTTTGTCAGCCAAGAACCCATCTGCAAGCACTTGAATCTAAGGGAACCAATTTTTGTAACATTGAGTGGATATTTTTAATTATAAAACCATTTCCTCTAAGCAGGAGAAGATATTTCACTGTACACTAGCACTCAGCTGTTCAGGTACCCCCCTCCGTTTTTAAAAAAAATAAACATAAAACAAAACAAAAAAACCTAACCAACCAAAAAAACAAACCCCCCCAAAAAAAAAAACAAAAAAAAACAACCCGCAAGTGCCACTAAGGGGCATTTCAGATGGAAGGCAAATGTGGGTAATCCTTCCAGAAACACAGGCAACTCAAAGAAACTGTCCTCTTGTGCCTTAGAAGCATCCCAAAAGATGACTGAGCTCCCCAACAGGTCTTGCATGACCGCAATCCCTTCCTAGGAAGCCCAAAGAAAAACAACACTTTTGCAACATCCCAGTCCTCAGCACTTCAGTGGTTTCAGAGTAAAAATCTGGATGAGAACGAGAGCCTCACTTGAGGTTCAACAAAGCCATATTTAATGCACAGCCTGGAAAAGCCAGAGCCAGTAGATGAACTTGGAGCTTTTACAAGCGGCCTCAGACCTCCCATCATCAGTGCTGGGAGCAGCTTCCATACGCCAAGCACAGGGATGAAGAAACAGCTTGTCAAGAGCAGCGAGTTCTTTCCAAGTTCTCCAGACAGCTTGCATCAAGCTACTTGTCAGGGACAGGGTCTAGGAGGAGGCTCTTCCATAAATGGCATTCTCAAGTTGAATTCCTCGAGAACGCGACCTTCCTGCTCACTCTCTTCCCCTTCAGAGACTAAATGAGTGCCCAGTGGCTCAGATGATCTCCCTTTTTGACACAGAGTCTGGCAGTTTGTAAGAGTGCCAGATCCTGAGACACCTCCTGTATGGAACCTTCCCCTGGTGTACAAGCCCATGTTGGCCATTCTGGTATTTAAGTGCTCTCAAAGGCACACACACAGTGGCTACCGAAAATCTTTGCTCAGCACTGCCAGATGATTTCTAGTTAAATTCAGCAGCAGAAAGACAAACAGGGAGAGGCCACGGTCCTGAGTGCAAAGGGAATGGAGAACATAACAAAAGATAATCAGGGGCAATTCTAGAAGCAGCAACAGGGCATCTGCAGACAAGCACCACTACCTCTAGATCGGGGTCCCGCAGATCAGCCCGCCACCCAAACTGCTTCATGAGCGCTATGCCAACAGCTCTTCCAATCTCCTGCAAGGGGGAAGAACGGTCACAGGCAGTAAAAATAACAGAATTAAGAAAACTACAGATCACAGCCTCTGGCTGCACAATCCTTAGAAATACTTGGGAAAAGAAAGAGTCTCTCTTTACCCCTAGTAGAATAATTTGTACGTAGACCAGAAGAGGTACAACAGGGCACAGTGAGCAAGTGAGGGGCAAAGCAAACACACCACAGCCCAAAATGACTATCATTCATTCAGGAGGAGTGTGGGAGTCTGAGGTTCAAGTCCTGCCCAAGTTACAGAAAAAAGTTGTCATTGTTTTAGAACTCTGTATCATGCACAAAATATTTCTGATGGCTGTAAACTGGATTACCCAAGAGAAAATCTGTGAATGCACAACTGAAATTCACAATTTTAATGCTTTTATGGCATCTAGGAAGTTCTGACCACTTTCAGAGTACGAGCGTTCAAACGCACAGCACAAATTGAAGCAAACATTCTTGTTGGCAGGCTCATCTGACCCACATCCCAAGGTACTAGCTTTATTAGGGGAAAAAAAAAAAATCTAGTTAAACTACTGCTATCTTCAAGTAAGAGAAATCTACATAAATTGAAGCTACCCAGGATTTCTTTTTTTATTTTTCTCATGGTATTATAGATGGGAAAAGGGCTGGATGGAAAGCGTGCCTGGAGGTCTCTACACTACCACTCTCTCCCAAGGACCAAGATCCATCCCACCCTGCCCGGCACATCCCAGGGCTGCACCACCCTCCTGGGGACCAAGGTCTCCCCAGTACCCAACCAGAGCCCACCAAGGCTGCAAAGTTCTGGTTTTATGCCTTCTTTACCACTGTCTGCCACAAATGAGAGGAGTCTGCCTCCACTATCCTCGCAATGGCTCTTTAAGTAGCTGTAAACTATTATCAGATCATTCCTCAGACTCTACAGGACCAGCTACCTCAAACCCTCACCTTTTTACTTATCCTCAATAGAAAGCATTGATTAGAAAAAATATTCGGGGTAATATTGCCTAGAAATTAACAACAGCCCCTGTATTTTCACCTGTTTAAGGTAAATGCAGGTTAAGGGCTTTTTTGAGAAATTACACAAAAAGGTTACAGCAGTTTGTTATCCTAAACCACACACAGTGGAAATGACAAATAAACTAAACATCTCCCTTTGCCTTTGCCAAATGCTTTTAAAACACAGATACTTTAGCATACCTGTGAAGGAAGTATCTTGGCAATTGCTCCACTACAACGACAAGAAACTCTGAAACTGAAACTCAGCTTCTCATTTGCAATAGGCTTCTCTCCACTGCTTTTGGAAGGGTCTTCTAAGGAAGTCTCACTTTCAGTCCGGCAGTCCTGATTGCTCTTTCTCTCTGGTACCACACATCTCTCTCCAGCTTCTGCTTGACATTCCTCAGACACAGTCTCTCTCACTTGTTCTGTTTTCTGCATTTTAGTTGCAGTATTTGTCTCTTCTTCTGATTTTCTCTTAAGAGGCAAACAGTTTTCTTGAGACATATCTTTTTTCCCCTCACACCTATGAAGGTTCCTCCAAATAGAGATAACATACAGCCAATAATTTGGTTCCTCAATGACAAGGCTTTTAATCTCATGCAGCATTTTCCCTGTAAGAAAAAGCACTTTCAGGTTCAGTCTCAGCATTTGATTTTCGTATGGATTAAGAGCAGCTGTTAACATAGACTGTTCAGATTTCATTAATGTGTCAAACCAGGAACCACAGCAGCAGCAATCACAGCCATAGCTGAGCTCTCAACATCCACATACCCCACCACCAGAGACCCAGGCATCCCTCTGATTACAAGCTCTGCAGAACCAAGATTAAATCGTGCAGGGGTTGAATTCTGCAGCTCTAGAAAACCAGACCACCTCCGAGACTCATTCCCAGGGACAGAGGACCAGCCTACCATGCCATGCTCCCCAGAAGGCATTCGGTCCAGTGTTAGAGATGTGAGATGCTTTCCAGGATTGGAAGACAGACGCAAATATAAACCACTGATTCAGCTCATAATAAAAGCCACCAGTTTATTATTTTATAAAGAAAATCTCTCCTTGCTATTCATCAACATGCCTTCAACCCTGAAAAGTCTCCAACACACACCTAAATTTACACCTCTGGGTAGTCCTCTTGAGCTACCTATGACAAGAGAGACTCAAGGAATAGAGGCCAACTCACTTAAAAACCTTGAAGCTGGTCAAGGGGGAAAAAAAAAAGTGTATTTCTACTTCTCATTTTAAACGTTAGAATCATGGTTAAATTTGATCCTCAAAGCTGAAGGCCATCTGTGGATCTCAGAGATAAAATCCCACCAGCAGGCAGACTATCAATCCATCTAACTTTAAATTCTTATTCCAAAACTGATAGAGAATGTGACCCAGGTAGCTAAGATCTACAAGATATCTGCATACTGAACAGTTAAGTGACATTGGATATATGTCTTAAGTGACACAGGTTATATGTCTTAATCCACTTCACCTAAAAGAAAGTGAGTCATTGTTAAGATGCACACATGGGGTCCAGAACTGCACTTCAGTTTCAGGGTGGAGTGAGGTTTTTTTGTTGGGGCTTTGGTTTCGTTTTTGGTTTTGTTTGTTTGTTCGTTTCGGGGTTTTTTTGTTTCGCTTTTGGGAGGGGTGGGGAGTGGGAAGGGGCGGGTGCTGGTGTTACACATATATGTACAGTGCCAGCAGAACACATGCTGGTAAAAATACCTCTTCCAAGCCATTTTAAAGTCATCTGCAGCACTAAAAAAGCACTGGATACATATTTGGGTGACAGATACTTCCGAATTTATTGTTGGCAATTAGAACTACAGCCGTTAGTAAATAAATAGAATAAATCAAACGTTAATTTTATAAACGGGACTTCAACTGGGGCTTCACGTTTCTGCGTGCACAGCTCGTGAGCAAAGCGGAGGGGAAGACCCGGGGGAAGGAGTCAATGCCGTACCTTTATTTCTAGAAACTACAAGTGGGGGGTGTTTCTTAAGCTGCAGAAACAATCGCTCTCCAGACTTGAGTTTCCTCAGCTCGCCGGGCTCCGCCTCTGTGCTGAAGAAGACCTTTCCTGAGACGCAGTCCACCTCAGGGGACAAACAGAAACTAAACCAAACCGGGAAGGTGTTTTGGGTGAGCACCTTCGGCGCTCCCTCACCCCCGCTCGGCGCAGGGAGAAAGGGAACGGTGAGGGGAGAGGCCCTGCCCGAGGCTGGCACCCGTCCCTGCCCGCGGCACAGGCGGTGCTCAGGGATCCCTTCACGCCGCGGCCGCCCGTCTCTGGGGCGTGAAGCGAACGAGGTTCCCCGCCGATCCGGACCGGATCGCTCCGGCTCCCCTCTCACCTCCGTGGCGCCCAGCCGCGCCCGCACCTCCCGCGCAAGAAAAGGCTCCAGTCCGCGGCCCGCCGTGCAGAAGTACCGACCGCCCGCCGCCGCCATCTTGGCCCGGGCCCGCCCCCGCCCCTCAGCTCTGCGGCGGGGCTCCTCGCCCGCCCTGAGCCCGGAAACGTACTGAAATGCACCTGGTCCCGTGGGGATTTGTACATCCTTGGGAGGGCAAATTGTTACCGGAAAGTGGTAATTAATTCACTCTCCAAGAGTCAGTTTTGGAGTTTTAGAAAGCAGGCATTCTTTATGACAGCGCCAGCCACACAGGGGATAGCTCGTCCTAATGTGTGTGTGTGAGAATGAAATGAACAAGCATTTATACTACCTTAATCATACATATTCATTGCACTTTTATCATATCCATAACTTTTCCGGGAACTCACTTAGCATATGTTAATGTCTCTTGAGCATGTCAGTTGGAGTCTTCAGCTGGTTGTCAGGGGCCTTCAGATGAAGGCTCGTAGTCTTTTTCACTGTGAGTGCCAGTTGACCCTTACTTCTGCACAAACTCAGTCCTGTGGTCACCTACATCTTGTCCTTCAAGGCTGGCCTGGTCTGGTCTTGTTGCTAATTCACAGCTTTTTTATCTTTGTTTCTTTGCACCTGCCACTACAAGGTCATACCATTTCCAGCAAGATTATTTATGAGTTCCTTATCCTACAGTTATTCCAACTATTCCTCAAAAGATGAGTATTTGTTCTGCAGCACAATTGTTAAATGGTTAAAACATCTTAAATTGATCCTAATTCCATTCCAGAAATATCTATTTTCTAATAGTCTTAGTTTGCAGGTATCAGTTCAGCACTCAGCCCAGGGGGAAGCGCCAGGATTAGGCAGCAGCTCCTGCCCCGCAGCCAGACCGTCTCTGCCACAATGTGCAGGAACTTCTATTCTCCAAATTAGTGTTTTACCGGGCAATGTTTTCATCCTCCCTTCCTACTTATTTACAGGGGAGAGACTATGAAGTAACACAGCTGTTGACAGTCAGATATAATTAGCCTTTGGGTGGCCCCAAAAGGAAACCCTCCAAAAGCAGGAGAGGAGCAGTGCAGCTGCCTTTCACCAGGCAACATGCTTACCTTAGTGACCCGCTGCTGCCATGCGAGAGAGCAGCTACCAGGGCAATCAAACTGGGTGGCAGTCTCAGCAGAAATCCAGCATTTCCAAGGAGTCTTCACCCCAGCTGTGCATCGACGCAGAGTAGCTGTGTGCTCAGGTGAGGGTGTAGGATGGAACAATTTCACAAGAGTATCTAAAAAGCCTCTTTGGCAACACCACAGAGTTTCCTTCAAAGAGCTGTACGTTGAACAAAGCAACTTTATTTCTGGAATCATTTTCCCCGCCCCCCTCAGATGAAGTCTCCTACAACTCACCTCTGGGCCATTTCAGCATAAAGCTTACCAGCAGTTGACGGTGAGCAGAGGTGGGCACCACTCTCTTTACTTTTCGCTGCATTTCCTTACAAGACAAGGGTTGTGGTAAGTTATTAGTTGAACAAAACTCCCCCCCCCCAACCAGGTCCCACAACCCTGCTCTTTGGTTCCCTGTATCCCTGGTACATTGCTCTAGCCCTAAGTGACACAGCAGAAGAGCTTGTTAAAGCCCACTCTGCGTTGGAGCAAACATACCTATCAATAAGGGAGTCAGCAAGAATACATTAAAATTTCAATATGGCTCAAACCTATCTTGTAAAAATCATCACTTATTTCTACCATCAACCCCCCCCCCCCAACAGCATCTGAAGGCTGAGAAACAAGTTTTTAAGGGTGCCCAAGTCCTTCTCAGGATCACGTTATAATTAGTCTGAGAGGGTGCTTCAGATAGCCTAACTTTTAAACCACCTTCAGAAAAAATAGCTGTCAAGTTCAACATTGCTGTCACTGCCCAGCCTTCACGAGCAGTGACATACATAACTCTCGTAGGGGTTGCAGACCTGCTGGCAAAGCCCTCAAGACCTGTCAAGAGAATCTCACAGGGGTATACAAATGAGAAAAAAAAGGAAATAATCACATAGGTGAGGAATCTGGACTTGCTGTGTCAGATAACAACCACAAGTTCTTGATATCAAGAATCAGGTTCAGTGACCCCTCCCAAAAAAAACACAGCTCACAGTTCCAAATTTTTTTTTTAATAAAAAACAGCTTCCAGATACCTAATCATTACTGTGCTGTTTGTGCAGGACAAATGAACTTTAAATACTAAAATGCACAAGGCAATCTGAAAAAAGATGTTTGTTTCGAACTGCTCAGCAGTGCAGGCTCAAGCACTTATTTGTAATGGCTTTACTCTTTGTACAATCAGTTCTATGTAGCAATGACTGTATATAAAGAATATAGTACACACTATTGTTTTCATTGTCAATTTACAAGAGAAAAAAATAAATATTTTCCATTCTTATGATACATTAACACTTCAGTAGAAAGTTACAGCTGTTGCGTTGGCATGACCTGCAACTTCAGGAGGAAAAAGGGCATGCATACATATCTATTAAGAACTCTAAGCTCTGACTTTGTAATAAATTACAGAGGATAGATGCCAGCCAACAGAACACCGATTATCTGAATTCGGTACATTTGTAATTCTTGCTCCAAGGAAAAAAAAAACCAAATCTTGCAAAATACAAAAGCTAGTAACTTGTATTATGTAAATAAGACAAACCATGTATGGTGTAGCCTTTTCTTCAAATATTTGTAAATTATAGGCTTGTGGTTTTAGGCAAAGAAGAGTAAGTAGTTGAGTTAGTCCTTGCATTCTTCACACATAACTAGCACCGTAAAGATGCAAGGACCTCAGCAAACACCTAAGTTTCATGCTTAATAACTAAAGCATGCATTTTGTAGAGTTTGTGCATGTTACATACTCTGTTTATTAAGGTTACTGTGCAAAAAAAATATTCTCAACCACTGAAGATGTTTCTGTATTTATGTTAAAATTGTTTGCAACATTTCTAAAGTTTAGCAGGCCTGTGTGAGATTAACGAAAAAGAAAAATCATACTTGTGGTTCACCCTTGACTGCTATACACAGACACTATACCAATGAATTGGCAAATCAGAAAATAATGGCAGCAGCCTAAGTGTCCAATGAAGTGGGTAAAAAAAAATTAGTTAATATGCATTGCAGTTTACTTAAAAATATCTATAATTTTAAAATGGCACAAAGCTTTGTACAGGTGGATCTATTAGTGCAAATACATATATGAGGTACCAATTTATTCAGGCCAGATCTACTTGTATTTATGTCTCTTCATCTCCTGTTGTCAGATACAGACTGACAAAGTGTTACCACTGAAGTAAAATCGAAGTCAAAAAAATTTTTCAGCATATTCAATATCAGATCATTGTAATTTCCCTACAATTTAGTTTCCGAGCTTGCACTCCTCAGACTGCTTAATATTTTTCATTTTTAGAAACACCCTTAGTGTTAATAATTTTAAAGATTTAAGACTTTTTTTATAGGAAAAAAGTTAAAACTGCATATGTAAATGGAACAGTAACTATAGCTGGCTGAATATTTTAACATTGTTTGAAATTTTAACAAGTACTGTCAGGAAGGAGGAACACAGTTATTGCTATTTGGGGACTTAAAAATAAAACAAACCTGAAGGCAAAGACAGCACTGTTCCAACGCTAAAAGTTAAATCAATACAAAACAACATTCTGCTTAGAATCAGTCCTTTTGCATTTGAACACTTTTCAAGTTATCTACAGCTTTCTCTTCCAGGCAATTATGATGACATTTACATGGAGATATGGATTTAAAGTGGCTAACTGTGGGACACACACAGCTTTTCAACTCTGGTAATTCTTTCTTGAGACGTTCCAGCTGCTCCACCTGGAATATATTTGGTTGTTCAGGATTCGAGTCGTATATCCTGAATAAATGAGAGAAGAAAAACATACTGATCAGTATAACCTGACAGTTCACAGAAATGTACACTAGATGAAGCAACTGGAGTTTTTTCTATACTAGAGTAAAATTATGTATCAGCAAATCTATAAAAATGGTATGGTCAAGGTTAGTACCCTAAATTTTGCCACTAATCTTGCAATATAAAACGGTATTCCTCTTACACAGTAGTTAATATTTCATTTGATACACTAAAAAGCTCCCCGCTGTCCTTTACTTCAGTCTCCTGAAAAATGTGATTTTACAGATGGCACAAAAGCAGTGAAATAAGAGCAGAGTTCCAGGCTTCAAACTTAAAAGCATAAGAAATTTCAGAATCTTGAGATTATTTGAACAGACTGTGATAAGATCACTTATACATAATACTGAATGGAATTTATACTTACTGTTTCAAGAAGTATTTCATACACACCCCAATTCAGGACTATTTTTAAAAATTACCATTACAATATTGAATGAAGAGTGAAAAACAGAAAAATCCAATCTTTATTCATACCTAATGCAAATTTAACTATTTATACTATTTTAAATAATATATCTTCTTTTCGCTTTTTTCTTTTAACACATGTAAATAAAGCTGCAGGAGTTGGAATTGTCAACATTGTACCAGATTGTGCAAGTCCAAAACACATTTTGAGTTTGACAGTGTAGGCACTGTGCGTAACTCAAATTCAATTTTGGTGCAATTCATTATAAAGCAAAAGCATTCATGTACCTGCAATCTAACTTTGGTACAAGGATAAATTCTGATGTCCCAACATTAATTTCTAACACCAGTATACTATTTATATCCAAAATTTAAATCTTGGCATCCAGTTCCCCTCACTTGTAGCTATTGTGCATATGCAGTTCAGGTATTGCAGGTCTCCTTCAAATGAAAACTTCTGGAAAAAACGACCATGGCTTCTGCCTTAGTCTCTTATGAATAGTCCTACTTTCACTTATGATTCCTTCAAGAAAGTGGTTCATTTTTACTGCATCATCCTTTCTCTTTCATACCATAATTTCAAGGTATGTCCTAAAGGAACACCATATCACAACTAAAACAATGGAGTGATGTATGATGCAGTGCCAGGTACCTTTTTGCCCCAGCAAGACAACTTGTGAACTGTTGGCAAGTCCAAGACTTCAAAAGTAATATGCAGCTCAAACAGCGATATAGTAAAGGGGGTTCAAATGAGGAAACACTTTTGCAGGAAATACAGATATGGATCACGTTCCCTTCAAGAAGATCAAAGAGTTTTTGTG